TTGGTACAGTTCTGCAATTTTTCTTCCAGTTCGTTAAGTTTAGCTCTCCGGTTCCGAGCTTTTGTTTTGCTATAACTTATAGTGAGCTGTCGAATTTTGTATTTTAGCAAGTCCCATAAGACACGCTTGTCAACAACAGCCTTGGGTCCTGGTTCGATGCTCATATGCGAATGAATGTTCACATAGGCAAGATTTGTAGCAAGGCTTTTCGCGGACTATACAACATAAGACAGATCAGAAAATTCCTTACCGTGCAATCCACAAAGACACTGGTCCATGCCTTTGTATCTTCGCACCTTGATTACTGTAACGCACCTCTATTTGGTCTACCTAAATATCAACTTGCTCGTTTACAGAAAGTTCAGAATGCCGCGGGTAGAGTGACTTTTCAGATTGCGAAATTTGATCAAATCACACCCGCTCTTATCGACTTACATTGGCTTCCAGTAACGTTTAGAGTTCAGTTCAAATTGCTCCTTTTTGTTTACAAGTCACTACACAACCAAAGTCCATCCTACATTAAAGATCTTTTATCCCTGAAACCGGCTGCTAATTATGCTCTTCATTCGTCCGCACAATCTCTTCTGTTCGTTCCAAAAGTCATTTGCTCGTTTCGACGCCTGCTACGCGGGCTGTACACTTGGGGATCGGGCCTTTGCTCATGCTGCACCTGCTTTATGGAAGTAGCTGCCATTAACTATAAGAACAAGTAGCAGCCTCGCCATTTTGAAAAAGCAACTTAAAACATTTCTTTTTAAGAAAGCTTTTAATTTGTTGGAATAGTTCTAATGTTTAATTTTAATTTAGTTTGGAATTTTCGAATTTCATTTTTTTTTAGATTTTACCATAGCATAACATATTATTGTTATTATTATAGCTTTCAGGGATTTTTAATTTTTTAATTTATTATTTATTCATTAATTTTAACTTAATGTAAAGCACTTTTGAATATTCTTCTATAGTTTTAGCGCTATACAAATTCATTATCATTATCATTATCATTATCATTATCATTATCATTATCATTATCATAATAATTGCATAGGATTTTGTCTATCATCCTGTAGGATCTTCTCCAGAATTAATAAGGATTCCATAGGATCTTTCTCAAAGCTTGTATTTGCATTAAGCCTGCTCAAATAAGCACTTGTATATTTCTTAACTAAATTCTTAGCTTCTTGATTGTATTGTCCTGTAAATATTTGACAGGACGCTGTTGAGTCCTTCAGAATCTTGTCTGAGATCCCATAGCATCTTGTCTAAAATTCAGAAGGATTCGAAACAATTTTGTCTAGGATGGTGTAAAATTTAATGCGATTGACTGTTATTGAACAAGTCTCTTCTCATAAGATTTTAGTATATTTCTTTGACGTTGTCTTGCACGACTACAACGTAAAACTTCCTAGTTACACCTCGTTTGTAGGAAATGTCGTATGTGCTCACCAAAGTTTTGTTGCTTGTGTTCCTGTTCAATTTGTTTTTCACTGCCACTTATTCTCACCTTGCTGGTGGCTAGCATTTCTCATTTTCTCACCACCAATTTCCATGTTTTTCCGCCGACAAAAATCGTCTCCTTTTTTCTATTTAGCTCTTTCTTTGTTTTCCATGTCAGTATAGACATTAAAATTTAGTCGGACTCGACTTTGTTGTTGTTTTTGTCTCTAAAAAGTCCGTGTAGCCATGTGATCTCCAGCCAGGAAACCTCGTGTTGCATTTGGGTTGCCATACCTGTTGATTGAGTTATTTTATATTGGCGTGCTTGTGGTGCGGACGGGCGCGCGTACGGTCAGGCGACTACCAAATATTCCCGGATGCCTAGGGTGTGTTGCATTGAGATGATCCGTATCAGGATCAGTGATCCGAGATCACGCGGATCATGGCCGATCAAATGCACCGATGATTCCTTGTCCAGAGTAGATTCGTCAGTTCATTTGTTCTTCCACGATCCAAGCGATCTCGGATCACTGATCATGATCCGGATCGTCTCAAAGGAACGCACCCATAGATTACCAAATTTGCCCATGGTGCTCCGATGCGCGCGCTTCGCGCACGCGAGAACTCCACTATTAGCATTATTGAAGCATTATGACGTATGATGAGTTTCAACTATGTATTTTAGGGCGAAAGCATCTGTTCTCCGGTATGGTTGATTTTAAAATACAGAAAACAGTTTCTTATCTCCTGTTGGCAACATTCATTGCCATTTTAACACCGACCAAGACAGAAAAGGTTCAGTGTCCAAACAAGTGTCATTGCAGTACTGATTTCACCACCGTGAAATGCCGAGGCTTTGATAAATTTCCTGTCCTTGATTTTGCTGCTGGTGTGCGCACTCTGTGAGTGATTTTGTTTTGTCTCTTTTTCAAAAACTCAGTAAAGTAGTGTGAGGGTATATAGTTCCTTTCATCAATTACTTTATATTTCAAGTAACTCAACCGCAGGAGAGACCCTTAGTTTGCTGAGTTTCCGTACTTTATAAGCACTGTAGCTTTTAATGCTAATGCGCCACTTCCGAGAAATAAGATTTTTAAACAAAGTGTTATCTGCTTTTAGGGATTTGTCCCGAGGGCAGATCTCGGATATAGAGAAGAAGGACCTCGAAGCCTACAAGAACTTACATTTCCTGTAAGTAGTTCATTATTAAAAATCCCACACTACTCGGTGAACCATTTTACGAAACTGTTTATTGGTGTCATAAGCTTATTTAAAACAATTTCGCTCTTTTATTTAACTTAAGCTTACTTGACTTTAATAGCTTTTAATGCGTTTTATCTATACAGGGATATAAGACACAACCAAATAAAAAGTGTCTCTCCAGGTTTATTCAGCGATATGACAACTTTGAGGGAACTGTAAGTGGCCTGATGATAATAAGAGCTATTTTTTATGCCAAATATTTATGATTGAAACTGTTACATAAATAGTTTTCGGACGACGCCACTTAACAAGCTGCCTGCCTCAGCAACAGGGTCATCTGAGTATTAGTTTGAAACTTATGTGCCAAAGGCCCAATGAGAAAAGGCTGAAGGTTTCGAAATGTTGTTCACAGGCAGGTTGTTATTCTATGTGGGCACATTGTTAAATCAAAATATGTTTTCTGTGTTCGCAGTTTGCTTAACATCTATGATTGTTATGTTTTCGTGTTAAATAAACCGCCTTTATATTGCATTACCCACAATTTTTATATTGTGTTTAAATAATCTACAACTGTTATAAAAATACTTTTGTTTTAGGTATGTTTCTTATAATCCATGGTCATGTGACACAACAACGCTTCATGTATTGCAAATGGAGCTAATTGCTCTGGCAGACAAGAACTCACATCTCAATAACTTTGATGGTGGTAAAATGGAGTGCTTTGATCCACCAAACATGAAAGGAAAAAAGCCATTGCATTCAGCTCATTGTAAGAAAATATTTTTTGTTTTACTGTATCTGCATAGAAGTAAACTGTATTGGGTCAAATGTGTACTTCTTTTCAAGCTGTAGGCAACGGTACTGAAGGCTTTGTCTTCCTCTTTATACTTGAGGTTCAGTGCAATGGCGCAGCTGACTTGTCTCAACAGTGGTTGGCCAGGCCAGGGATTGGGGGGATTGTTTGGGGCATTCAAAACAGGGTTGTTAAAAACAGGTGCGAGATTAAAGCTTGAGCTGTAATATAGACTCACTGTTTCTCTTTGATTATAATAGAACACTCCTGAGAGTGGTATTGGAGGCAAAAAGAATCTTGCAATATGTGCATGATGTTCCCGGAAGTTTTCCAAATTAGGAGTTATTAAGAAAGGTTCAGAGAATTTCATCAGTAAAATTCCAGGAAGTATCAACCTTCAAGAAATTCCAAACAAAACATTGTTGGGGACAGCACGTATTCTATGAGATAAAACTACATGTATGCATGTAATTATAAATCAAACCACTATCAATAAAAGAAAATTGTATTTTTTTTACTATAGCAACAGTCAAGGTCCTACATGTGCATAAACTTATGAAAGGACGTATGGCTGATCAACACCAGATCCCTGCTGGAGTAATAGTACTGTCAGTATTCTTGGTGATGTTACTGTTCACTGCTGTAGGTGGAGCTGTCTGGGTGTTCAGAGAAAACTTACAAGACTTGTTCATGTGAGTCACCAATAATCACCAAAAAAGGTGGTCTTTTACAGCGTTCACACAGTCTTGAAAAGTCCTTGAATTTTAAGTGAAGTCATTGAAAAGTCACTCAACTCCATTTATCCTGCAAGTCCTTGAAAATTCCTTGAATTTTCGTCAGCTTTGAATGTAGTGACCTGGAAAGAATTCTTTGATGCTTTTTTTTGGCGCTCTGTCTTAAGCAATAATTAACTATCAGTTTACGACAAGTGAACTGAAAGAATGTAGAGAAGTTAGTGAAGCAAACAGTTCAAGCCTTAAAGTCTTATTAGAATAGACTGGGAATGTGCTAGCCTGAATTTCATCCGATTACTTTGAGTCGTTATTACTCCCTCAGAGGAGAAAACAACTCGAAGCAATTGGATGAATTTCAGGCTAGGAATGTGCATTTTTGTACAATCTGTGAAATTATATTCCTAGTAGTTGGTCCTTGAAAATCTAATGTGGTCCTTGAAAAGTCCTAGAAAGGAGTTGAAAAATGGTTGAAATTTTTTGTATGAACCCTGTTTTCGCATAAAACATGTTGCCTTTGCCGAAACCATTAAGTCTAACTGCTGAACTCATGGTTTATTCTATTTACTTTATGTAAAATTCATAAAAAACATGACAGTTAACATGATCATGGGGGGTCATCATATACTAGCATGCAAGTCAAGGGTTAGCAGATTTACAAAAGGTTACTCTCTGAAATTTGAACAGGGCCATTCTGTCCTAAGAATCTGTCTGCCTATTGTTGCGGGGTAAAGGCTGAAAACCATATTTTCTCAATTAAACCCCCACTAGCTTTTAATTCATTCTTAGTCTTGCAGACTCGAGGTTAAATGTTTGAATTTATAGTTTGTTTGGGTATGCTGTTTCTAAAGAATAGTTTTTAGGCCTTTTTCTTGATAACCCTGTATCTTGCCTTTACACCATAAGTTGGCACAAATTAACGTCTTAGGGGTTTATTTACAACTTCCCATTTAAGACCCAGGGTTTACTCATTAAACTATATAAAAAGAATGGTATGTTTACATTTGCCTTGATTCGATTCATAGGAATGTTTGGAGACTCAAGCCTCAGAGTGATCCAGCAAACAAAATGGAAGCAGGTGAGATGTACAAGGACCTGCTAACTTCTAAAACAAGCAGCAACAAAGGAGTAGTTGATGCAGGGAAGGAAACAAAACCTAATGGCCAACTTGATAACAAAAGCATTTTGATTGACAAGAGGAAAAAAAGGAGTCACAAGTCACAGGGCCTTCCAGCCTCTCGTAACAGTGCATTATGTTCTGATAACAAAGCAGCAGGTATTCCAGCAAAAAACAAGAAAACTCCTGATGAGCTGAACAAGAGACGCATTTTGTATGAGAATATGAAAAAGCGGCGCCGCATGTCACAGGGTCTTCCAGCCTCTCAGAGTAACAGTGCATCAAGCTCTGATGATGAAGCAACTGTTAAACCAGCAAACAACAAGAAAACTCCTGATGAGTTAAGTAAGAAAAGCATTTTCAAGGAGAATATGAAAAAGAGGCGTCGCATGTCACAGGGACTTCCAGCCTCTCAGAGTAACACTGCATCAAACTCTGATGATGAAGCAAGAGTTAAACCAGCAAACAAGAAAACTCCAAATGAGTTAAGCAAAAAAAGCATTTTGATGAAGAATATGAAAAAGTGGCATCGCATGTCACACGGCCTTCAAGCCTCTCAGAGTCAAAGTGCACCAAGCTCTGATGGTGAAGCAACTGTTACACCTGCAAACAACAAGAAAACTCCTGACAAGTTAGACAGTGACACTGTTCTGATTGACAGTATGAAAAAGAGGCGTCGTATGTCACAGGGTCTCCCAACTACTGATGTTAAGGGGGAATCAAACTCAGAAAATGAAGCAGAAGTTAACTCAACATGTAACCTTGAAGAGAGAATGAGCAGACAGAGGCGACAATCATGTGGTTTTGCAGAGGGAGAAAACAGCAGCTTTAGTGAAGAAGATAGTGGATTCACACCACAGTAGATGTGTACACTTTTCTATGATTAAAACTCATAATTATGTATGTAGGCTTGCAAAAGAACAGTTCTTGATGAAAGTGGTCAGACATTGTTCTCAGTGGACCATAAATTTTATTGTAATTTTCTTTCCTGCATACTACATTTAATGATAGTAATCTGTTGAAAAAGCTTGATATGGCATACAAATAATATTGCCAGCGACTTGAGAATATACTTGCAAAGACAAAATACATGTACTGGTACTTCTCTTCCTTGGATTTATCTTGTCTTGGAGTGGAAATTGTATCTTGCAAAAGTGGTAAAGTAAAATAAAAAATCGTTTTATTTTTATTGTTGTTTAATGTAAAGTATAAGCTTTGAATGTCATTCGATAATAATGGAATGAAACTCTAGGAGACTTTATCACCATGTTGAGATAAATTCATTGCAGTAAAGCTTGCCAGTAAACCATGAACTTCATCTACCTGCAATTAATCAATAACATCATTCACCCTGTCAGCATAAATGTTAACCCCAAATAAAATATTACCAGAAACCCATGAGTTTCTGATATTACCGGTACATAAAGATAAATGCAGTAAGCCAAAGACTTCATTGTTCATTGACAATTATTAATTGGACACAAAAATGAATTAGAGTTTTACACATACAGGTATAATCATTATTGTGTGTTATCTAACAGATAAGAAAGGCAAGTGGTGGCAAAAGTAATCCAGTTAATTATCACTTTTCATGATGTACAATCATGCAATAAAATCCATTCTGTATAGATTTAAACCTCCAGGCGTAACTACCTTGTTAAAATTTCATGTAAATGTAATTATTTTGTTTAGGCATGAAACACTAAAGACCTCCAAATAACACATTTTGAAATGGTTTGAATATGCATATCAGAATTTGGAAGTGTTAGTATTTTTAGTGAAGGTGGGGGACCAGCACTACTTGAAGAAATTAACACCTCATGGACCCAGCAAAGACAAGAACCAACAAAACACTCAACTGCATGTAAGGTGTCATAAGAATCCAAAGTATCCAATTTCCCTGGTCAGCTCCCCCAGGCCAGATGTATGTAGCTGACCACTTTAAAATTAAATTGACTTTTGGAGCAGTTGTTTACAGGCATTTTAACTGTGTTCAAAAATTATGAACATTCAAACTTAAAATAACCTGTAATGCCACAACTGATTCACATACACAACTTGATCAGTATTTTGAGTGTAGTAATGTTACTAATTACAAACCTCTTCAGTAGTGACTGATTTTCCAAGCATACCAGAAATATTATCTAGTGTCTCCCCAGCTGTTTTGTTTCCAAGCCTCAACATGTATGCCCTGATCAACTCTATAACTTGTTTTACTTCCTCACAGTAAACCGATGGTCTATCTCTTATTTTCTGGTCACCATGAAGAACTCTTAACCTAGAGTATGCCAGATCAAGAGGTGTTTTTCCATTAAAGTCAGCTGCAATTACATTAGCACCAGCCTGCAACAGTAGTGTTACTATTTTTAACTGGTTTGTACATGCTGCAAGATGAAGTGGTGTATTTCCATTTAAATCTCTTGCATTTGGATTTGCTCCATTCTCAAGCAGAATCTGTAAAATCTCATCATTTCCTTGTGCTGCTGCAAAATGAAGTGGAGTCCTTTTCTTTGAGTCAGCACTGCAAACACTGACTCCTTGATTGATCAGCTCAAATAAAGTGTCTTTTTTACATTGCTGTACTACATCTCTTAGTTTCTTTTCAGCCAGATGATCTTGTCCCAGTGGTGACAACTTTGTTGTAGCATAGCTTCTCAGCTTTGAGCGAGATGGCAGAACTTTAGGTGAAAACGGCCTTCCATGTTCTTCAAGAGTATTATGCAAGTTGGAATTGCTGTTTCCCACAGCAGCTGAGGGTAAGGCAGTAGTACTATTCACAGGTAAGTTTGACCAAACATTTGAAGAAGACCAGTCAATTTGGAAAGAAGTTGCACACTTCTGTTGGTGGTCCTTTCCATTCATGTCTAATCATTGACCTTAAGATAATCAAAGCAAGAAAAATTTGACAACACTCTTCCAATTTATGCTTTTCCATATTTACACAAATACACAAATTTAATATTGACAGACTGAAAAACCTCAGTATACACTGTGTATATCACTTGTTTACACAAGGGGGGGGGGAGGGGGGGATTCAGACACAGAAAGCATGCTGCCTAACAGGATCATGAAAGTGGAACTTCAAGAAAAAAACTGCCCACTACATTGACATACCTACAAAATACCCCTCTGGAAAAAAATAAAAGTGGGAAACATTCTCCATTGACCTGTTACAAACACAATAATTATACCCTTATTATTAGTAATACCATTAGTTTATCAGTAAACTCTAGTCATTGTTGTCAATTTTAGTTTCTTTAGTTCTCTTGTTACTTTTAGCTGTATTTAGTTTATTTTCTGTAAACATGACCCGCCTAGATTAGCTTAGCTACCCGCGGGCATGTTATTGTACTCTTACTTCAAAACACAATAAAATAAAATGTATATATGTATGTATGTACCCTGATATTACAAGGGGGGAGGGGAGGGGTGGATTTATATATTATTGTCTGGGTGGGTATAGTCCTAAATAGGACCTGTTGACAGTGACTGACATAATCAACAAATTCTGTGGAAATCAAAGTGAGTTGTATCACGTCAGTTGATGATATTAACTCTCCTTATGGTCCTGATTGGGCAATTAAGCCACAAATTGTTAGCCTGCATGGTGGGCGTTTGAAAGGGAAGGGAAAAGGGGTCATGGGCGCAAGAGAAATGTGAGGGGTGCACGAGTGAGGAGGGAGGGAAACGCCTGCCAGGAGACTAATGTTTTTAGCATTATAAACATCTACCAGGAGAATGTTAAAATCCTGATCGGTCAGTCTTCGGTCTTCTGTCGCTTGTTTTTCTTCAGTTGGTGATATCAACTCACTTTGCCTCAAAAAATGACTAATGCAAAGGCTGTTGAAACGTTCACTATCAACAACCATTTTGGTGCAATTGTCCTCATTGACCGACTTGATCGAGCAAAACCAACTATGAGAGAATGACTGGATGATCAAAAATTTGACTAACAATACATGACTGTTTAACCGTGACAACAGACCAATCAAAACACACCAATTACATTACGAGTCTTCATTTCCAATAACATCATGGCCTAACTGACAGATGACCAATAACATTGCAACTTAATTGACCAATCAGGTGAGGTCAATAACCAGAGTTTACTACTGTCAAATGAAGTGGTAAAAACTCAATTTGACTTTGAACATGACTACCGCACAGGTTGTCGAAAAGTCAGTCCCTGACAAAAACAGGACTACATTCACCCGGACGATCATACTCAACCTACTTATGAAATGATTCCTGGGTTCAAACCTTTCACAGTCCTCTTCCTGTTGCTTTATGCTAATGACACCGATACCTCCTTATAGAGAGTAAGGTACTGTTACTATTACTATTCAGGATTTACTGACCGGGACGATCATACCCCACCTACCTTTACGCGTGTAAAAAACACAATAAGCCTGCCTCTTGAACAGTGCAGAATCACGAGCAAAATTTGTTTTCCGTGCAGTCTCCCGTTTAGTGTTCTTTTTTTCTAAAAAATATAGATAAGCTTGAATATTTGCCTCAAAGCGGAGTTTCATCCCAACATGTACACACATGAGAATTACTCATACAAACAACAAACCACAACAACTTTATTAAAAAGCAATGAAATACATTAAACATACACTGCACAGCTGCCTACTTTTAGATAAAGCTTTCGAGACAGGCAGTGTGGTTACTCTACATACGTAAGAAAGTGATAAACAAATAAATTAAGAGCTTAAATATGTTTAAGTCACAAAATGAATACCTCTGATGTAGGTTTATAACTTCAAAAACCTTGATCACTTGCATTTCTTTGCTCGAAGTACTACTGAAATGTGGTAGAAGCGTCGGTAGAAGCACTAATGAAATGAAAAGACTGGAGGTGGACTGGGTACCATTGGATATTCTTTCCTGGACGTGTATACGGCACAATGTGTCCTAGAAAAAGCCGCCTTGCCTAGACTGCGAGCAGTCTCTTATTTTTCCTTGAAAAGTTACTGCGCGCAAAACCTAAGGACGCGAACGGCAAAGCCGCATCCCTTATTGTAATAATAATGTCGTGGTTTGCAATCTAGTCTGCGAAAATATCCGTTTCTCCTCGCTCTTCGCCGCTAGGGGAGAAACTGATGTTTTCGCAGGCTATTTGCAATCGCGCTGGATGGGATAAGAACTAGACAGATTTTAAGAAAAAAGGCGGACTGCAAGCAGTCTATAAGCCGCCCGAGGGGGCGGGTGTGTGTGTGGGGGGGGGGGGGGGGGGGCGACTTGACCAATATTTGGGTATGGGTGAGCCGTTGAGGGTTTGGAACCCTGACCCTGTTTAAAGATGAAAAAAATGCTAAAACATCCTCAATTTTAGTACCGTGTTTAGGACAACTCCCTAATTTTATTATTCCAGGGGGGTTTATTAGGAACATGAATATTTTGTTAGGTGACATTCTGCTTATTTTTATTCTATATTCTTTTTCCAAATAATCTAGTAACGAACTTGCCTGCGTGCAGACGTCTCCTATTTCCTTTCCGCGTGCAACAAAGGAAATAGGAGACATCTGCACGCAGGCAAGTAACGAACATCTTTTTTCCTGGTAAGCAGGGCATATATTTAGAAAATGGTATTCGTCCTCCATTTCTATTTTACAAATTGGGCAAATTCTTTCTGCAGGTTTCTTAAACGGTCTCGAATAACGTCCTGTCTCTATGGCTAATTTGTGGTTGCTAAGTCGCAGTTTCGTAAGAGCTATTCTGTGTCGGGCATTGGTGACCTGATGTAGGTAATCTTCACATTTGTAATTGTCTATCGTTTTGAATAAACGGTAGGTTTTCATTTTGTTGCTTTGGTTAGCATCTTTTCTGGTGTCGTTATTTATTTCACTTAGCCATCTTTGTAGTTCGATATGAGGTGGCAATGGCCCCGGCAGATACCCGACATAGATGTCCGGATGTTGGGAAGTAAAATTGCGAAATGGCGGGAAAATACTAAATATTACTGGCACGTGACGATCATAGATTAGCCAATCACAGTTCGCAGTTGTAGGTACATAATTCGATCAGTTCTGATACACGTGGAAATTCATGCATTTCTTCTCGGTGAAACGGACTGAAAATGGCGTTTAGTCTAGATCTCAAGCGAGTTTTGATAAGCGACAGTGTGGACAGCTGTTGTAAAACTATTTTGCAAACGAATGGAATCGTTGTCGACTTAAAAACAAAGCTAACCAAAGAAGAGCTCCTTGCAGAAATACCGGTAAGTATTAAATCATAAGGTTCATTAATCTTTGTAGCATCTCATTCCTCTTTTCCTTAGACCTTACTGCTCTTACTATTGTAGAATTATGATGGTCTGATCGTTCGCTCAGCAACAAAAGTGACTGCAGATGTGATCAAGGCAGGGAATAAACTGAAAATTATAGGTCGAGCTGGAACTGGTGTCGACAACATTGATATCCCTGCAGCTTCACTTCAAGGAATTATTGTTATGAAGTAAGTTCAGTTGATACTAATTTTTCTAGCTTTTCATGAACTAGTAAAGAGAAGCCTTGGTTTTTAAAGCTTTTATATCCGAAATGAGTTATATTCTCGTAACTGAAGTAAAGGATTTACGGTGAAAAAATATTGGGTCATATTCGTTTATTTTTTTGTTACCTACAGCGCATGACCCACCCCGCAGCAAAAGGATCTTTCTTTACCATGGTTTTTAGCAAATTAATACAGAAGTTTTTTTTACAAATTTACAAAAGTTTATGTTGCTGTCAGGGGGGGGGATGACTCTTTGTAAAAGTACGAAGAAACTGTAAAAATACTGGAGTGTCTAATTACAGTTAAGAAGAGGTGGAGACTGGACACCACACTGATGATCCCAATGTTTTTAAGTTGGAATCCACCAGGACATTGAGTAATTTTGATTTTCAGTGGATAAAAATCTTGTACCAGAATAATTTAAAGCATATTGCATTCTTTCTTACATTTTTCGAGGGCTAAAGATGTCATAAATCATCTGTAGTAACACCGAAAAAATTTCTTATGGGAGCCAGAGAAAATGAATGTCAAATTTCACAAAATTATGTCTTACACATGAAATTTTGAGAATTTTACCTGTGTAATCACAATTCTTGTGAAATTTGACATTCAATTTCTCGGATTTCCATGAGAAATTTTCTTTGGTGTTACTACATATGATTTATTACATCTTTAGCCCTCCCAAAATGTAAAAAAAGAATGCAATATTCTTTAAATTATTCTGGTATGAGGTTTTTGTTTACTGAGAATGAAAATTGCTCAATTTCCTGGTGGATTATATCTTAAATGTTCAGTGTTTTTCTTGGACTAAGTGGTAAAATATCTGTTCAATCATTTTCATACCATTTGATCAGGAAAATAAATGTCATGAAACTTTTTTACTTGTGGTTTGCACTAACAGAGCCCTTTTGAGAAACATGCATTTGGTGCAGGGTAAAACAGTTCTGAAGAAAGCTAAACTATCAACTTTCAAAACCGCAGACTTCAGGACTATATTAATGTATAAGGTTAAGAATAACTTAGTCCCATACATCAGACCTTTATCATTGTAACACAAATACATGTAAGTATAATCTTTGAAATGCAGATGATTTTTCTTTACCAAGATTTAATACTACCGAGTATTGCAAACATAGTTTAAGGTACACAGGATGTTTTATTTGGTCTAAACTGCATAAGTCCATCAAAGTTACATCATAGATAATTGAGCTTAAACTGGAAATGGATGGGAGGGATGTTATTTTTAGTAGCGTGTATTCTTAGTTCTCCTAGATAGGTGTCTCAAATTAGTTTCTTGTAAACTAGAACGAAAGACATGATAATAAAGTTGTTGTTATTATTATTATTAATTGTTTTAATTGAATGAAATGTTCGTATTTTGTTTTTCTAATCAAAACTAAATGTTTTTTTTTTTTAACAAAAGCAATTGTAAATAGCGTTTTGACAAAATAGTTTTTCTTAGAGTGAATTAACCCATTCGCTCGTGGAGATTTTTCCGAAGAACGCGTTTTGAAGCTAGTCGAGTGGTTTTCTGGTCACTGTCGTGCTATAAAGAGCTAAAACTTACCACAAACTGGTTTACAGGTCGTAAACTTCGCGGCCTTCTGATCCAGATTCAAAATATTAGCTTGCGAAGTTCGGGCATGCACAGAAAGCAAAATTTCGAGATAGTTTTTGGGTTTAAAAGTGACACAGCAGTCTTGACTTTTACTTTTCACTTTCTCTCCTCCCCTCTTTTTTCACTTTTCTTGCCTCATTTTTTTTTCTCTTGCTGGGCATTTTGTAGGCTTCGTTTTGGTGGGAAGAGTTTTTAGGAAAGCTTTTAGCATCTTAGGATTAGGTGAAAGGAAAGGTAGGTGAGCAATGGAACAAGATTTTCATGGAGATTTTCAGGTCAATGTCACATTGTTTTTTGCTTCTTTCTCTGGTGTCCTCGACTGAATTGTGCTAATTCTGGTATGGTTTGAAAGATCTCTTCACTCTGCACAAGTTAGCAGCCAAAGTTGTCCTTGACCGTTAAAACTGATGATGTCACAAAGGGTGGAAAGGACGCGGATCCGCACGGGCGGTTCAGGGGCGAATGGGTTAATTGCAAATAGGATTTTAATAGTTAGCATTGTTATCAATAAAATGTGTTCAAGTTTTGGATTAATTGTCCCCTTATCTCCATTGCAAAGCTGCATTTGTTTACAAATGTGATTAAACCGTTCTGAAAAGTATGTAACTTTTAGTTTTCAAATCAAAAAGGAGCATGATCTATGTAATAATAACAATAATATTAATCATACATTAGGTAGCTAGAAAAACTGGCTAAGCTGACTCACCATGAGTCTCTTCATACAGTAACTCAGTGCTTATAGAGCCGAGTTAATGGCTAATAAGCTTAATTACAATTTTATAACGAGGTTAAATCTGCTCCCTTATGAAGAATGTTCAGGAGTGCATTTTACATGTTTTTTGTACTGCATGATAATAACAGTAACAATGCTCTGTACTCTTTTGATATCTAGGATGATGTAAATATAACAAAGAAAAATTATTGTATTTGATCTTGCAACTCAGGTTGAGTTGACATCATTTCTGAAGTCAAGGCTGTGCTCCGAGAAAAATTGAAGGAGGCCTTATGCTCTGAAATGGAGAGCAATTCCTGTAATTTCACTCCTCCAAAAATAGTGGAAGACAGAGCAGCCTCATTTCATTGCATTTAAATGTGTTTTTGAATCTTGTTGTGTGAGGAACAGTAGGGTTAGGACGATGTAGCTTTAGGTTATGTTCACACTCTACAAGGTAGCTTTTGTTGCCAGTACCAGAAGGTATCCAGTATAGCATGAAGAGCTATGGACCAGGGCTGCACAAGTTATATTCACTCTCATCGAACACCATGCTGGTGTGTTTAGTGCGCTAAATTCCATATCTCACTCCTGAATATTTACTTCCGTCTCAGTGGGATCCAGTCCATGGTCGTAATTATTTACCTCTATAACGGTCTGAACAGGTTTTCAAACACACTGCTCAAACGGCACCAAAGTGTGGTACAAAACCTATCCGATATGTGATGCTCTAATTTTGAGATCTGCATGGCGGCTTAGCTTCACTGTACTGTCACAGAAATCACACTCAATTGCTGTTCTTGTGTGAACAGAAGCCCAGTTCAGCATGATTTTCATGGCAGTGCAAAGTTATTAAGTATAGCTACTGTGAACATACACTGTAGCCTTCCCTGTAATTTCTGGGAATTTTTTTAGGCTTTTTTGATAATATATAGCATGATAATACTTGCAGGTCCCTACTGAAACTGCATAGTGGATGGCTTCCCAGAATTAAAACATTGTTATTATTGTTCTTCCTCTTTTTCCTCTTATTATTACTAATACTGATTTGATTCATCTATCCCTTTGTAGCACTCCTGGAGGTAACACACTGAGTGCGGCAGAACACACCTGTGTACTTATCAGCACTCTTGCAAGGTAAAGTGTACTTAGTTGGTGGGTTTTGGGTGTCGTACATTGTGGTCCAAGTAACCCCCTGTATTTGATATTTAGAATAGCATCACTAGTAGCTGATGCAAATCTGCAGTTATTGCAAGGCATGAATCAATCAATTAATCAATCATGTTATTTACAGTGTATGTGTCAAACTTCTGGTACACCACAAGTTGTGCAGTAATTTGGGACATTAATTGAATTTGCATGATCTTTGTAAAGTTTTCCCCTGAAAGTTAACGAGACCTTTCTTTTACTCAGATTCATGGTAAAAAGGATTCATTTTGCAAATAACGTGTTTGGCTTATTGCTTTCTTCAAAATGTTGATTTTTTTGGAGGGGGGGGGGGGGGGGGGGGGGATCCCAGCTGGAAGGGGATAATGAAATTAAATCCAGGATGAGTTGGGGTCCAAGCGTTTTACCTGATACTGATAGTTTTATATATCGTACCATCGGAACAATGCCAATTATTATTAATATCATCATTTTATGACAAGTACCCATAAGCTGCTGACAAGCTCTGCTAATCAGTCTGCATTCATTTGCTGTAGGCATATACCCCAGGCAGCAGCCTCCATGAAGGAGGGAAAATGGGACAGAAAAAAAGTATGTCACTTTGAAAACTGTACAAGTTGTACTATTACAGTTGTTACAATGTACGTGTGGTATTAAATAGCTTTTGTCATAGAGTCAATTAGGCTTAGTGATGAAACAACTAACAGTTTTGCTAAAAGTCAGTCAATAAACCAAGCAGCTATTACTCTAGCATGATGTTGCAACTGTAATAGTTAACAATCCAAAAAATACTTTAGCCAAGAAGTTGTTCTAAACTTATATGAATATTGTGTAGCTTAGTCTCCAAATGCAATCTCTTGACTGAAGTTATTTTAGCCTGTGTGGCAGGCGTTGGAAGGGGAAGGGGCAATTTGGGTGCGCGAGAGCTCACGAGGGAGAAAGGAAAGGAATGCCTGCAAGGAGACCATTGTTTTCTCCATTTTTCATGCTCAGATTCTGAGTGTAAAAATAGTGATTGGTCTTCGACTTAATACCTTTTTTCGATTGGTTGAAAATAACATCACGCCATTTGAGTAACTAAACATATGATGTTAGTGAAGTGTGATGAGATTTCTCTACGGGAATTCATTGTTAGAAGGCATCAATTTCAGCTTGAAAGGAGAATAGAAAAAAGCAGTTAAAGAACCATATGAAGGAAAAGGCCTGTTAGCAGATTTTTACAGAGTTTTACTTACTGGTTTTGAAAAGTATCATCTCCCAATGGCTTATTGGTTTTGTGCACTAGAAGAAAGAAAGGAAAAATCATGCTGCCTGTGTGCTTGTTATCTGCTGTTTGACCCGCGTTATCAACGGCAAGATTGTTGAAGACGATGTGATCTATAATCCTTAGCGATTTTTGAATGAGAACTTCTTCTTGCTGGTTGTAAAACTGCCAGGACTTACTTTAATAATTAATTGCTGCCTTCTTGCAGATCTTCGAAGTTCAGCTCCTCCTTCCCCGCTACAAGCGTTCTTTTGTGTGCTCCACTGGATCTAATGCGTCCTGATAGAAATTCAAAGAGTGACGGCAAAGTGTTTTAGTTTTTCTTAGACAAACATTGCATTGAAAGTTGCGAAGAGCCACTACATTTCTTATTAAATAGTTTTGCAGCCCGATTCCTTCAGCAACAACTTGAATAGATTTATCGTGGATCTTGTGTAACTTGGCACGCGTCGTTGCAACTTTCAAGGAAGATTCCTTCCATGGATGACCGCATTTGAACTTTTTTTTATAGTATCTTCACTTTAGATTTCTTGTTTTTGGAAAACAAAAGAAAAACATTGCGAGAAATACAACCAAAATACGTGCCTTGCAGCCAGACTTATTTGACAGCTAGTCATTCACAGTTGCATTATTTTTGTTATTCTTTTTAAGTAGTATGCTGGATGGCGAAAACAATGGCTTGCTTGCAGGCGTTCCCCTCCTCCCTCCTCCCCCGTGCGCAGTCGCACGCCCTCAATTCCCTTCCCCTTCCCTTTCGAATGCCTGCCATGCAGGCTAAAGTTATTTGTAATAGTATAATACTTTATTAATATAATTGTAAAATACCTCTTTTAACTTATTTCGAAGTACATGGGAAGTGAACTATTTGGCAAAACTCTTGCAATTGTTGGACTAGGAAGAATTGGGAGAGAAGTTGCTCATCGCATGCAGTCCTATGGCATGACAGTGAGTATTAAAGCTCTTTTTTAAATCTAAGAGCTCTTGTGTTGGTCCATGATTACAATGTTTATTACTAGGCTGTTAATGTGGAACATAGCGAACAACAAACACCAGAAATGTTGTGAAGATAATAGCGTGCAAAGAAAGTAGTGTCCGATAGCCCAGGGCTAGTGGATTATGCTATCAGGTTAGTGAATTCTGTTCTTAACTTGCCCGATGGGCAAGTGAGGTTTTTGTGTTGAGGAATTCAAATTACAGAAGAACTGTGAAATCAATCTGCTCATCAAAACGTTTTTGGGGCTAGTTGAAATGATGTTTGGGTTAGTAAATGTTAGCTTCAGCTTGCCCGAATGGCAAGCTGTAAAAAATGACTTTCTTTGCACCCTGAGATAAGTCGAAGTCCTGAACTCCATGTGTGATAAACTGTATCTTTATTCCATAAACATTCCAGGGTTCAAAAGACAAATTTATCCAGATCTGAGTCAAGTCCAAACAAATTCACAATGAAGTAGACCCCAATAAGTTCAAATATCCTATGCACGACGAGTTATGTTTTCTAAAACCAAATAAATCCACAATGAATTCAGTGTTCAAAAGTTAGAGGTCAACATATGAAATACAAGAGGAAAACGTGCTGACAGTTTTGAATTCCATAAGCGAATGCTTCCAGAATGACAAAACTTACAAAGTATCAGGTTTCAAAGCATGTGGTTACATTGTAGGTACGGAATATGTGCACAGCAGTAGCACAAGAAATATTTCTAGAATGCTACGTGTATTGTGTTTCCAGGAAAAAGAAATCAGGTGTGGGAATACTAAACTGTACTTAGATTTTTTGTTTTGTAGTCTGCTAAGCCTTATTGTGATTGGCCATTACCTGGGCTTAGCTACATAATTCTGGAATTTTCGGGGGAAGTTTTGGACATCAAAAAGAATTTTAGAAAATCTTGGGAATTTTTGGGAAAAATTGACAAATTCGAGAATTTTAGAGCAATTTGAACTTTTACCTGACATGGTGGCAACATTTCACTGGCAAAAACGTTGACAAAACGTTGTTTGTATTGCAACCAACCAAGAGAGGGGTCAGTCCGTTCATATCCTGGGTTCTGTTAAGCATCGGAGATCGGAGAATTCTCTGTGTACTACACATAATTCTCCTGGTAAATTTCAATGAAGTGTCGCTATTTTTTATTCAGACGAATCAAACATGGATATGTTTTGTTCTTGTAAAAGGAAATTATTCCCAGAAATGTGTAATTTTAGTGCTTAGCCTTTTGCTTAACATTCCCAAATAAATGACAATAATACATAAAAGATCTTGCTTAAATGCTAGCAGTTTTAAACCCACTGGGACGCGTAAAATATTTGGCAGTTTGCTGAAGAGTGGAGAGTTGACTGTATGCTTGATGCTTTTTTATTTGCATGCGAAAAATTATTAAACGAATAAATACTAATGAAACAAAACGTGAAACAAAATAAAGTACATGATAAACAAATCATAGTGGCAAAGTAACGACAAGAAAAGTTTAAGCAATAAGAATCAAGTACCTTTATGAATGAAAAGAATGATTTCTTTGTGAACTGCTATGGAAAATAAATTTGGCGATGTTTATTCCTTATATAAATGACAGAGTATTAAATTACTGTGAAGCAAATTAATGCAAATTTAATTTTTGAGATTTTTCTATTTTAACGATGACTTCTATTTATGGCACATAATTTGTAAATTGTAACTGCAGAGGAAACAAAGAAGAAATATTCATTGATATTCGACAAATCGTCTATTAAACTGGACATGCAAAGTTTTGTGCTGAGAGTGAATTTGTTTAAATGTGTTCTGTCTAGCGCAAACACTTGTGTCACTGACAGAGCCGGGAAAAGTTTCTCACTATTGATAACATCCTGATAATATTGAATTGAAGTTAAAGCATATAATTAAGAATAATTATTCTATTTTCACTCTTTGGTATGTTTGGTATTTAATAAGATAGAGCCACATGTCACAACTCTAGGAGTCTGTAACAGGGTTAGAAGACAATCATAATTTAACAATATGCCTGTTATTTCGAAGAAAAAATGTTTTGAAACCATGTAGAGGTATGCATTTTTTTTTTTGTTCAGCAGCTACAAGAAATAACATTTGCTATCAGACAATAGGAAAAGCAATCTCAGCAGGGTTTAAAATGCAAAATTTCCAGGTTCGTTTTCAAGCTCTTTCCGGGAAAGGGCTTCGCTCTTTCAAAATATCTTCCTGTTACTTTACACTATTCTCCTGCTTCTGCAATTCTTAATGAAACCCCTGACTGAGCATCAGAGTCATCTACACTACAACTTATCAGCGGTTATTCTCTGAAAGAGTTGTACAACTCTTTGATTCTTGTTATATTGCTGTAAAAACCCCGATATTTTTAAGAATTTCGGGAATTTTGGAGAATTTTAGAGCTTTTTTCGGGAAAATCCAGAAAGAATTTTAGGCAGTTTTTCGGGAGTTATGTGGCTAAGCCAACCATTACCCAACCAACATTCTTGAAATATTTCACTTCGTGATTTTCTAAGTTTTCCTGTAACTGGTAGAGTTTAACAATCTGTGAAAGATTTATGTATGCTAGAATCAAATCTCAATACTAATCTGACTACAGTGATGTGCAAGTCCTGCTGCTCTAACAGTAGTTGTTGTGGTTTTTGTTCTCGTAGACTATTGGGTATGATCCTCTCGTTCCAGCTGATGAGGCAGCTAAGTTTAATATTGAGTGGATGGAACTAGACCAGCTGTGGCCAAAAGCAGACTACATCACAGTACACACTCCTCTCATTCCACAGACAAGAGGTGTGTATTGCACTTTTAATTTTAGTTGATTTTATGTTGACAGCAAGATAATATTTTTTGGCCTTTTAAACACCTTCAACTCAAGCATGATTTAAAGCGCAAGGTACAGCGTAATAGCAACATACATCACTACTAGGACAGCAGAGTACGTAGTGCCTTATCTTAGATATATATTATTGTAGGGATTGGTACCTACATGTATTATGTTCATAGATTACTGCTTCTGTGTTTGTTGTTCTTTCTAAAGCCAGCTGTCAGCTCCTATGTGTAAATCCACATCCTTTAATTTATCTTTTTTTCCTACCTACCTGTCTCTTTTGAGTTGATTGCCTGTAGAAGTGCCTGGCATTTAGCATTTACAGTCAACCCAGAAAAACCACCAACACCAGAAATATTTCTGAAATGTTATTGTTTTCCCCAAAAAACCCAATCAGGTGTAAGAAAACTAAACCACAAGCAAGATCAGATCTTTGCTGTGATTGGTCATACATGCAAGACAATAAACATTCCTGAGATATTTCAAGTGTTCATGGTTTTCCCGGTTTGATAGTATAACATCATAACAATTGGTCTGTGCTTATCACAATAGGTTCTTGTACATATGGCTATCCTTTGCAGGAATTGAAATGTTAAATTGATTTGTGTAACTTGCATGCTGATTTTTGTTTCTTCTGTGCTCGAGGTTATCACTAACATGTTCTTTTTTCTTCAAAATAAATCCAGGACTTCTCAGTGATAAGACATTCCCTCTCTGTAAGAAAGGTGTGTATGTAGTCAACTGTGCACGTGGTGGTATCATTGATGAAGCATCCCTTTTAAGATCATTGGAGTCGGGGCAGTGTGGTGGGGCAGCTCTCGATGTCTATGAAACGGAACCCCCTACTGGTAAGTATTTATATTGCTATTAATAGTAGGGCATTATAGGGGGAGTGTTGCCGTGTCAATACTTAGGTAGACACTTCAGTGGGTGGTAAGTGAACAATTAAGAAGCATGCCTACTGACAGGGTGTGATAAAAAATCATAAATTATGCAGCATTTTCAGGTCAGATTGATGCAACAAATTATGCAAATTGTGTGATTTTTTGGATGCTAATTAAAGGTCGTTTTATCAGGTTTTAAAGGAGGTCACTTTTTAAATGTTCTGTAACAGACAATTTGAGTGTATTTAGAACAAAATAGTTAAATTTTGTTCTGATGTCTTGACTTAAACAAGACGCCTTAAGTCGTTTCCGTGGGATGCGTTGGTCTATGGAAACACAATGGCGTTCTATCTGAATTTGGAAAAATTAGGGAAACCGGAGAGATGTGTCATGTTATGAGCATCGATGAGTAGGTCACCTGTATGGGTTGGTTTAATGTGCTTATGACTGAATTTATAGTAGCCTGCGTGGCAGGCTACTATTTCTCCACAATCCACATCCCCTTTTTGATTCCTCCCTATCCCCAACCCCTTGCGACACCTGCTACACAAGCTAAATTTATAGTTGTCAGTGGTCGCAAGGATGGAGTTGATCTTGTTTTGATCTATCGCTATGTAGTTATTTTCGTAGCACGATTTGGATAAGAAAAAGAAGTTATTTTGCATCAAAACAAGGTTTACCCGTGTAACTTAAATTGGAATGTTAACGGGAACAAGTAATGGAGAATATGCGCATAATGCTCTCTGATTAACCTGAACAGGAACTATATGTATAAAGATATGTCATATCTGGCTAGTAAGTTGCCGCAGGTAACTTTTTCAAAGAGAAATAAACATTGTAGTTTGAGGTTAATGGAACAAAACAAAACATCCGCTTGCTTTATCCAGGGTCAAACCCGGGGTTTAATACAAAGTTCGATAAAGTTGCAATGTTTTAATCCAAGATGAAAGTTTAATATTCCAAGATGCTCTTGATACGATTAAAAGGTAACTGCAATGTGTTTCCAAGGTCTCAAAGTTAACATAGTTCCAATGATTATCCCTGATTCCAAGGTATAATAGGTTTACTAAGGTCCTGATCCGTGTCCCATCCAGAAGTCCAATCCATGCCAAAAGCGAGTCGTCGATCGACGAGGCCAATATTTTCGCGATTTCACCGCCAATCGTCAAGGGTACGAGTTGAAATTTACGCGATTTAACCTCCCATCGCCAAGGTGTTTTCGATAAGAAAAGAAAAAAACTGAACTCTATCTGTGCTCGGCAAAAACTGGCGAACTCCGAATAGAAAAATCTATTGGAAATGACGGCCCGCAACCAGACGCTACTAAAACCTTATGTCGAAAAAGCTAGAGCTAAACAAAAAAGAATCGTGAAGGGAAGAAATAATTTGGCTTAGGTCGCCTTTCGTGACTTGTCAGTATCCCGAAGGATTTCGCTGGTTAACAAGCCATCCTAGACCATCCTAAACCACGAGTGGGAAAACTCAAGGGCGACAAATTTGGCAAGGTACGTTCTGATTTCAACGTTCTCCAGCGGAAGCAAATCGATTAAAAATCGATACAGATTTTGTACAATCTGATTGGTCGGCTTGGAAGAAGAGATAATCGATGAAGATTTTAGGCAATCCTATTGGCTGGCTTTGCAATTTTGGGTACAACCAAACCGGGTTTTTACCGTGGGAGTGCCACAGGCATCCCACGGAATAAGAGGATAATAGAAAGAAGGAAAAAGGACACTTTGTAACAAATAACTTTGTGTATTTCCTGAAGGGAGGGTAAGGTTCCACCATCACCTAATTTCAAACCAGGGAGGGCTGAGCATAAGTCCATTCATTTTAGGATAAACAACATTTTCATGTAGGTCCCATACATACCAAACTTGAGGATTTAAAATAAAATGAAACCACTTTTTAATTCTCTGCCAGTGCCAAAACTAATACAGGTAAATTATGCACAGCAAGTAGTAAGTTGATGTAATACCAAACCCCCTTAAAGTGCCCATCACCTAATATTTTATATTTTCTTATCTGAAACTACACCTTATTAAAATTACTTCAGCTAAAACATTTTGTGATTTGAACAAAAGAGGATTTTTTAGAATTTTTTAAAAACGTTCAAATTTGCCGCCATTTTGGCACACCATTCATCTTAGTCTTCTCTGGGAGTATGACGTCATATGACGTACTTTAAGGAACACGTGACTTTATCGACAGGAAAACATTAAGAGTTTTGGTAGGTTTTTCTCTGATTCAATCCTTACTTGTAATTGATCTTTTTTGTGTACAGCTGGTGAAGGCAAGGTAACGTGAGTTCCGTAATTTACGTCACATGATGTCATATTTGAGCCTGCTAGTTTGCGTGATCAGCCTCGCGGGTGTACCGCAAAAATATAGACTTCAAGAATTGGTAAAAAATTGCGTTTTGTTCAAACCGCAAAATTTTTTTGGAGAAGTTATTTTAATAAGGTATGTATAGTTTCAGATAAGAAAATAAAAAAATTTAGGTGATGGGCACTTTAAGCAAAAGAAATGATAAGACAGTAAATAAGTTGTTAACACAATTAAGTACATACACTGGGGGGAGGTAAACTGTGCCAGTATATTGATCAGGTTTATTTATTTTATATCTGTCACAGGAGTATCAGGGCAGTTAGTCCAGCATCCTAATGTCATAGCTTGTCCCCATCTTGGTGCCAGCACTGTTGAGGCGCAAACCAGGGTAGCAAAGGAAATAGCTGAGCAGTTTGTTGATGCTGCACAGGGGAAGTCACTATTTGGTGTGGTGAGTTATTTCACTTAACTGGTAGTAATATTACAAATTATAGTGGAACCTCGATATAATGAAGGGCCAAGGGACTGGCAAAATTTGTTTGCTATGATGACTTTTCCTTATATCCAGGTCCTTTTCCACGTATTTTACTATTACTGGGGTAAAGAAAACAGTTTGTTATACAGAGGACTTTGTTATATAGAGGTTCTACTGTAAGAGTGCATCGGACTGGAAGGAGTGCTGCTGTGAAGCACAAAATAGAGGGAAAAGCCGCAACTGGCATAAAGTGGTAATGTGAAAGGTTGAACCCAAGAGTCATTTCTTTAGTAGGTTGAGTATTATCGTCCCGGTGAACGTGCTGTAGTCCTGAATAGGACTGTTGTTGACAGTGACTAACGTTTCGACAACCTGTGCGGTAGTCATCTTCAGAGTCAAAGTGAGTTGTATCACGTCAGTTGATGGTATTAAACTCTTGATATTGATCTGATTGGTCCATTAAGTCGCAATGTTATTGGTCGTCTGTCAGTTAAGCCGTGATGTTATTGGCTATGAAGTCTCATAATGTTCTTGGTGCATTTTGAACCACCTATTGTCACAGTTTAACAGTCATTTATTGTTAGTCAACATTGTCAGTTGTCCAGTCGTTTTCTTGTGGTAAGTTTTGCTTCATTCTGTCAATAAGCTGTTTGCAAGGTGCCGGGACAGTGGTGTTTGTTTTAAGTCTTTAAGACAGCTTTCTAATGTGAGTTGTTGATAGTGGTCTCTACAGTAGAATACATAATACATGTTGCAGAGTCCCAGTCAATTTGATGTTTTGTCTGTAAATGGTGCTCAGCAATGTGATTGTTGATGTCACCATTTCTCGTTGTGCATTTGTGTTCAGTCAGTCACATGCTAATTTTCTGCCGGTTTCACCAATGTAAGTAGCCTGGCAGTTGCAGTATTTGATCTTGTATACTTCTCCCTGTCTGACCTGTCTGTCTTCTGGTTTGTCTTTGTCCTTGACATCAGTAAGTTGTCGCCGTCAAGTGGTCATTGGTTTATGTGCCACAAGTACATTGTAAGGTTGTAGTATACGTGCGATAGTTTGAGAGGTGCCTCTGATGTATGGTATAGTCACTGTCTTAAGGTCTCGGTAAATGAAAATTTTAGTACATTGCTCGATTTTGTTTTTTTGGGATTTTTGGCATGAGTGGGTCCTAAATTTTATTTTGGCAGAAAAAGAAAATCAGAAAGTGCTTTTTAACCCTTCTAAAATGAGCCTCTTCTGAGCTAACCAGCCAAGCGTGGACCTCGCGCTAAATCTTTAGAGCTGATTTTCTCTCACTCTATTTTAGACGTAAAAATCAAAATTCTCCGACCTCCAGTCGGGACAGGTTTTAAGCTATCGCTTTGAAACTTTCAAATATGATGGATAATGATATAGACTCAAAAAGGGTGTGAGGAATTTTCCGATTTCCCTTTGTAACTCATTTTATGCCAGTTTCTTTGCGTAAATCGCGCTCGAGATTCGACTTTTTAGTTTGAAATGCAATAATTCCGCTAATACGAGACATATGCAAATTTCCTCACACCTTTTTAGGTCTTTTATCTGTCAATCAGATGCAAAAAAAAAAGGAAGTGAATATTTAACAACGCGAAAGGGCTGGAGCTTCAGCAGTAAACTCGATACCTCTGAGTTCGAGAACAAAAAACTTAAGCACCTTTTGAAATTCGATAAAATAAAATTTTTAGAAGGTAATTTAGTCTTTTAGTTACCGAGACCTTAACAGGGCCAAAGTCGATGTTGGTCTGAGTGTTGGAATCAGTGTTACTGTGAGTGTTCTGTCTAACAAATTAAAGTCTGTGTTGTAGTTGGTACGGTAAAAAAACAGAGAAAACTTTCATAAGAGACACAACAAGGAATGCTTACTTCAGATGCAGTTATTACATAATTATTGGTACATAATATAGTCAAGTTTCTGTTAATCTATGTGTTCTAAAACCTTGCCTCTTGTTGGTTTACTGTGGATGAGTTTGTCAACACTATTCTAGACTGGTCCTGCACCTTACCATTGTGTGCAAATGGTTTTTCCAGAAAATGTTTTTTCTCAGTAAAGCTTTTTTAAAAAAGTTTGTCAAAAGCTAGTGAACAATCTTTGTCCAGGTTTGGCTCTGAGCACCTTGTGGATATTTCTTTATGTTAACTGCACGTTCCTGGTCGTTGTCAATTTCCAGTTTGCTGATGACTGCCATGTTAAAATATCAATGTTTTCTTGGTAAGACCTCAGAAGGTGGGAAGACTGAATATTTACCAGATGTGCACGGTGCAAAGGAAGTCAGTTTTAGCATTTACTTGCCCAAGAGTCATTTAAACTAGCCCCTCCCCCCCCCCCATAAAAGTGACAAGCAGAATTAATAATATTAATTTATTTTTGTCGCTTAATTAATTGTTCTAGTAGTTGTTCAGTTATTTAAATCTTTTTTATTCACTTTGTCAGATCAGTTTTAGAAGCAGCTTTCAATCCACATGAACTACTGTAATTAAGAATTTAAACAATTTGTCTTACATTACTTCTGTAATTTGAATTGAATTCCCCTGAAAGACTTCCTTGTCCATCATGCAAGTTAAGAACAGAATTCACAATCCCGCAGTGTTATCTAATAATGCTTTCTCTGTACCCTCACAAGTCACCTGGTCAGCAGGGGTAGGAAGTAGAGAACCTAATCCCAGACATGATTTAATTGTTTGATTATAGGTAAATGCTGCATTCTTAACTGAAGCCCTGAAACCTGAAGCACAGCCTTGGCTAAGCCTCGGTGACAAACTTGGAAGAATTGCTGCATGTCTTGTGAATGATCAGCCACTCACCAAAGTCACTGTGACAACACATGGTGCTGAAATGAAGTCCGCATTACGATATGTTACTGCTGCTGTGTCAGCAGGAATTCTTGGTGGAACAAATGCCAATTTGGTTAATAGTGCTGTCATTGCAAAAGATAAAGGCTGTGATGTAAGTTAACAAGTTAATAAATGTTGTAATTGCATTATTCTCCTATCATAAAGTATCATCTAGCCATGGTGTTTGTAATTCCATTTTTCTCCTTTCACAAGGTATCATCTAGCCATGAGGACACTTTTGGACTCCCTTATAATGGCGCAGTATCATTGACGGTAAACAGTGACACCACATTAACAGGAACAGTGGTGGGGGTTGGTGTTCCTGTGCTGATCAAGTTCAACAGCCATGTTTTCAGTGGTGGGGTACCCCTCTCTGGAAACCTTTTGTTTGCTAAAGGAAATCCTGGTAAAGTCCTGACTGATCTCGGTTCCAAGAGTAATGGTGCAGTTAACTGTGTTCATGTGGCAGCAGGAGGAGCAGAAAGTGTCGTTATTGTTAGCACTTCTTCTCAATTGTCAGCAGATTATCCTTGTATAGCATTGTGAAAGATGGTTTTTACATCATTAGTTGCGAGTCTAATGATAAAAAAAATGTTTCCAACAACTGGAAAAAATTTCGGCTTTGCCTGCATACTTATAAAGGTAGATAGCATTGACGTATTTGCAAACTACAAAGACACTCACTTTAACTGTGTATGAACTGCAGTGCTGTAGTACCTTACACTTTACTGTTGCTGTGTGCTTTGCATTGCAACAAACCCTGATAAGATACATGTATTCGTGGGAATGTTAATTTTGCATTCGATGAATAATAATTTACTGTAATAATGTAGCATCTGTTTTGTGACAATAAGTAGGGATAGTATTTATTATTGTTAAATATTGTGTAACTGCCGGTGATATCAATTTACGAGTGAAAGTCACTTATGTGACTACTTGCTATGTTATACTGGATAAGTTATGTAGTGCTATAAATCTTTGTTTCTCAAATTGTTGGTTTGTCTGAAATCTTTGCGCTTGTCATTTACCTACCCCTTCCTTTGGCAGTTCTTCCTTGATTCAGACTGTGGCTTATCGAAGAAGCCTTGCCTGCTGCCTTGCAAATGACGAAATTCGTGAAGCCGGTGATGAAGGTTGAAAACATAACTTGCAATCATACGCAGAAGAACAGTTATTGCAAAAAGAACTAAACCGTAACGATTTAAAATACCTTAAACCTGAAGGGTAATACGTTTTTGCATACATGTAGCCTGCGAAAACATCCGTTTCTCCTCGCTCTTCGTCGCTGTGGACGTTTCGCGCGATACGTCCTCAGCGACGAAGAGCGAGAAGAAACGGATGTTTTCGCAGGCTAGCATACATAGTGTTCTGAAATATTTCAACCAAGCAACATTTTCTGGTTTTATTTATGAGCTTAGCTCAAATTTACTTTGACAACAACAATTTTAAGTACTCGAAAGGGTTAACACGAAAAAACACCTTTTAAAAATAGTCTAAATACATTTTATTTCGCAAACTGTCTTTTTGTTGGTTTATGCATTCTACAATTACAATACAATATACAATTCCCTTTATTTAACGTGGTCAATGTTCTTAGCTAATTAGCTACTTTACAGACACACTGGGGGGGGGTGTTGTGCGCACTTCCTGCACCCTCCCTCTAGATCCGCCCCTGGTTTCTTCCCTCCTCCCTTATACATAACGTGAACTCGGCAAACTTGGATAACTCGGTTTGTTTTTTTCGAGTTAGAAACGAATACTAAAAAAATGCAACAATTATAAACCTGAAGTTAAAATTTCCAATGGTGTCTAGGTAATTATATTGTCTTTTCGAGGAATCTTCCACAATCTAAATGCAAAAGGAGGCAAAGATGCTACAGACCTTGAGAATCTTGGACACCAAGGAAACATCAACGAAGACGTCAGTATGAAAAATTAAAACGCATTTCTCAAACTACTACAAAAATAAATAGACTATTCCAATTTGTAGATTAGTAGTTCCCATTAGAAATGAAGTCCTGCAAGCAGAGTGCATGACAGTCGAGTACAAAGCTAAAGGTTACACATCCATGACACATATTACGCATTACGTGACTAATAGCCAAAGGTTAAGTCATTGATATCTCGAGTATTTATAAAGTGCAACCAATTAAAGAGCAAATACCCTGAAGACTACTCGACCGTCGATAAAACAGCATGAAAAACTCTTAGCAAGGAAATCCAGTTTCGTGTAGGTAGCCACGTTGTTGCACGATCAACAAGTCGCGTCATTTCAATCGTCGACTCATTTGCATACAACGAAAGTTTACATAGCCTCACCATCGATATCATCGAAATTTTGTTCATTTAAGATTCGTCTTTTTTTCGTCCACTGGGGTATTCACTTGCTCCAAAGTAATTAACGCTTTCAAGCAATAGAATCCGTGGACCGACCCGTTCGGGAAAAGCTCTGCATCTTTCGCATTGATCTTCCCTAAGCGTTTTTCTATGCATGACGTTCCTCACTCCGAGATACTTATCCCCAGTTTCCACGGTCTCCACTAGAAACGCCTGGGACTATGATGACGATTTGGCACGGACACAAGAAAAAAAAAACGGTTGTATCGTTAGAGTCTCGCTCTTCTAAAGCAAGCTCGACTAATTGAAACTCATGTGACGCAATTTTCCATGGAGCATGATTAGATGCGCTTTACAGTACGTTAAAAAAACTATGAATGGATAAAAATTTACAAGCAGGTAAAAGGTTAAAAAACAATAAAGATGATTGTCATTATTATTATTATTATTATTATTATTATAAACGTCTGCTGTCAGAAAACTTCACTAATGGCACTTTCAGTTTTCTTCTTTTGAAATACTGAAATTGTCATTGCCATTCTTAAATTAAAAATACATACAAAAAGTGGTCTCTATGCCAAAAATTGAAGTTCGAAGTTCAAAAATTTTCAGAAATATCCACGTTTCTCTCTTTGGCTGCCTGCTTTCTTATGCTGCCTTTAAAACGCTCGAGATGCACTCTCAGACAACCAAAATCCCCCCTCCTCTCCCTAGAGACTAACGCCTCCAGCACTCATCCGGTCCGCCTTCCCGTTGGATCGCATTTCCTGGTGAAAATACCTGTCTACGGGTCTGAATCTTGTACGAATTCTTCCACAAATTTCTTCATGCACACCTTATGAGTAAAAGCGAGCGCCCGTTAGTAGTATAGTAGGGACCGATTAATCCTTTTTGCGCAGGGATGTCATTTGTTGGCGGAAAAAATACATTAACGCAAATGACGTCGTGAATCTCGTTAACGTATAAAAGAGAGGAGAAGTCGTTACGTCACGATGCCATAGCAGCAAAATTTTTGGATCACAACAAACCGAAAACGTCACTTAAAAAGTGAATTCGAACCGCTTCAAACCTTATCGATCTTATTCAATTTCATTTAATTTGGCAATTGTTGGCGAAATTTCCTCCGGTTGAATCTGAAAGGACCGTATTTAAGTTTAGAAGAGGAAAAAGACTTTTGTGTTGTGTTCACCTACTCCATAAAGCAAGCGTGTAAAAATTACGAAGTTTCACGTCGCAGGGGTGCAACGACGGCAAAGAAATGTACAAAATAGCGTGATGCACGTGCAAATTTGTTGTTTTGTCAATAAAACCTTTTACTTTTTTGCCGTTCTCCTTCCGTCGCCGTCGTCGTTGGTTTTGTTGTTATCCAGAAATAGTGCTACCATGGTGACGTCATACTTCTCCTCTCTATTGCAATGGCCCTTCGAAATTGATTTTAATAATTTATTTGTACCAATCCCAGCGAAGGGTATTTATTTAGAAGGGAACCACGGGATGCTTAATAGAACGAGCCGATCTACATCAGAATAAATCGTGCATTCACGTCCAAAGTAATTATTTTAATTAAAACTGTATCTCAAAACGTTATGTAGTGTCTTGTTCTATTTGAATTTAACTCTTTGTTAAGAGGACTTTTAAAAGCCATTTGTTTATTTGAAGAGAACACAAAAGGCCCACGAGAGATTTCATAAGTCAGATGCAAATGTCAGTAAGTTGAAAATGTGTAATAAATAATAATTAACTGAAATACATTGAAACCTCTGTTTAGTAAGGGGACACCTTCAGGACCTTTCCAAGTGTCCGCTCAATAGAGGTTCGTAAAAATTGCGCAATGTTTGTAACGATTAACATTCAACGGTTACTCTGTACTGTGAGAAAGTTCCATGTTGTTAAGGAAGCTAAGGAAGCTGTGCTGTACCTTGTGCAAGACTTTTAGGACGACCTTTTGACAGCTAAATGTATTGATTTATCTTTATTAATCGACTACAGTACGTATTTCAATGCTGCTATTGACAATTCAGTCCGGTGTCCGCATAGAGGTTTTTGACAATTAAAATTAGACAAACACAATGAGTGTCCGCGTACTCTTAAAAGAGGTGTCCGCTGAATAGGGGTTCGTTATAAAGGAAAATACAAGACGTTAATTTCGGGACCCGGCTTAGTGTCCGCATAATAGACGGTGTCCGCTTAATAGAGGTTTCGGTGTATTACATTTCGCGTCGCAATTCAACAATCAACCTACAGTTTACGAAAAAGTAAGGTTAGCTAACATCTCAATAGAAGTGAAAACAAAAGCCAAGAATTTGGGTGTCGTTATGGATTCGATAAAATCTTGTCTTTCACTGAACATCTCAACGAAATGTGCAAGAAAGCCAATTATGCCATTAAATCAATTGGTCGTATTCGAAAGTACCTTCCTTTCGATGGATTGACAATGTTGGTGAACTCCCTTGTGATTTCCAGACTCGACTATTGCAATAGTCTCTTATATGACATTCCAAAATGCCAAAGAGATAAGTTACAAAGAATTCAGAATACTACAGCTCGAATGTAACAGGAGCACACAGTTCTGATCATATAACACCTATATTAGACTGGCTACCCGTGGAAGCAAGGGTTAACTTTAAGATTCTTCTTGTCACATACAAAATCTTGAATGGACAACCTGCTTGATATCTGGAACCTCTGATTAAGAAATATCATTCATCAAGAGCACTACGATCATCATCCCGTTCGCAATTATGCACCCCAGCCATAAAATCCAAAATATATGGACGACGTACGTTTTCTGCTGCAGCCCTCAGTTATGGAACACTATCCCAGAATATTTAAAAAATGCAGAAGGTGTTGCTATGTTTAAAACAAAACTTAAAACATTTTTATTCAAAAAATATTTCCATTGATTTTTATTCTTAACGTTTTTCTAGTATTTTAAAGTGTACAATATGTGTAATATGTCATCTGGGCTAGAGATTTTTCTTATTTTCCTTCTTTTTCTTATCCATGTAAAACGCATTAAGGATGGAAATGCGCTCAATAAGAACGTATATTATTATTATTATTATATTCTGGTGGTTCCTTTTCAATTTTTTTCAGGAAAAGTAATAATAATTTTTCTTGTTAACAAAGCTAACTATAACATCCTATTTACTTATGATTTCGCTTAAAAAACTTTCTTAAGTCAAAGCACCATTTACAATTCCTTTCACTTAAAAAACACTTAATTTCATTTAAAAAACTATTTTCTGGGGTAAACGTTTTCTACTAAAAAGAAGGGAAATAAGATAACGTTCTCAATGTCTTATCGAATATTAAATTTGTGGTTCTATTTTAATATCTAGAGGCAGCATACATGTACGGCCGTCACGTTTGCCCATGAAATTTTTTATGGGTTTTAAGTTCAAAAAAAAAATTAAGAAATCCATCGAGCAATATGCTTTGCGTATTCTTGCATTTTTTCCTAGTCGAAGTTAGAAATTTAGCTATTTCGTCTTCGGATAGCCGTTAACATCATTTTATTTAGTTCAGTATTGCCCAATCAGCCTTGTTCCAATCAAATATATCATCGAATCGATGGTATACATTTCTCGTATCTTCCAAATATGGTAAGGGCAAGTTGATTATGAAGATTTAGTCGGCGGATTGGAGCCAATCAGAAACGGCGAAATGCTTTGAATGAATAATAATAAGTGTTGTACCATACTTCAAGTTTTTGATGTCATATTT